GAAAAGGAGCCGAATCTAACAGTAGAGAGTTCAGACATAATGTTGACGAGAGAGAAAGCATCATATTGTTTATCTAGACTTGCATAGTTAAAATGTTTTAGAAATCTTAAGGAAGGGAGTAAAGGACTGCATCAGTTGAGAAGAGAATGGAACGTGAGCAAGCAGAGAATGTGACTGCTGAAAGCTCAAGTATTCTGGCAACAATGGAAAGAAAATAGGTGGGATTGAGAACTAGCATGGCTGGGGGATTGATGGCTTGTATATGTTTCTATGTATTTTTATTTTTTATTTTTGTATTTGTGATTATATTTTATTTTATGTTTTTAATTTATTTTATTTTTTTTGTTTCTATATATTTTTAGACAGAAGAGATTTGACTGTGGCTATGGACTAAGGATAAATGTATTGGAGAAAGGGAGAATAAGAATGTAGGAGAAAGGAGATGACTTAGAAAATGAGGAATAGGATTGGATGAAATTAGGAACCAGAGAGGAAAAGCCTTGGGCTGAAGAATGGCATCTCTTCCTCTAAGGCAGAAAGGGACATGCTTTGTGAGTGGCTCGTGCACTGTCTGGGAGTGACAGGTCAAGAGATTTTGATTCTCATTGTCATGATACTCACGGGAACTCATTAGACAAGTGGACCAGAATCACAGGCTCAGATCCAGATTTCCAGGAGCCAGAACAGAGTATGGGAACTGATAACATTGACAAGGAAGAGCTAGAAAATGTCACTTAATTTTGGATCTAAGAAGAATGTCATGTGATCTAGTAGGAAGAAAGGCTAGGTATAGAGGAGAGGTAATGTATTGTATTGTGATCAAGAACTTGGGACTTGGAGTCAGAAGACAGTGAATTCCTATCTCCTCTCAGGCACTTATGAAGTGTGCGAGCTTATGTAAGGCACTCAACCACTTCCTGCTTGAGCTTCTTCCCATACAAATTGAAGACAATGGTAGTAGCTCACAAAGCTGTTGTAAGGAATAAATGAGAAATGATTTAAAGCTTTCAGAGGGCACGGTATACTGGAATTAAAGTTTATGTTTGTGTGTTTGTTCATTTTGATTATAAAGACTAAGAAAGTGGGAAGAACGTTAATGTTCTGGCTCAAGGGCTGTACCATCTCTGAGAATTAGGAGAATGCCATTTGATGGACCACTGGAAAGGGGTGAAGCTTTGGGACAGTGGTGTTGTGAAGAATACAAAATGACTAGAAACACATAAAAGTTTGCTAAGTGTTGATGACATTGGTCTTGGCAATGATTTCATGGTTATGCTAAGTGTCCTTATCACTAAATCTCTCTCTCTTTCTCTCTATACATCTATATTGTATGCATATATATACATATTTGTATGCATATATATACATATACAATATGTATATGTATATAATATGTATATGTATATATATTTCCCTAAGTGGAGTTAAAAGCCCAGCTGTAGAAAGTGAAAGTGGCCATTATTTGTAATATTACTACACTGAGTAGTCAAAAATTATTACCCTAGAATTAGAGGATATGAAGAAGGAGGAAAAGTGGATGAGAGAGTGGAGTGTGGGAGTGCATCATTGCATGAGGGAGAGCAAGACAGCAAGAGATGATGGGTTGGGCACTGAAGTGACTGCTGAGTTGGAGACATAGGTGTGTTTGTGAGAGGAAGCAAAACCAGGAAGGACCTGGAAAGATGCATAAAATCTCTGCCGATTCCAGTCATGTCGAAAACAAACATAACAGGGTGGAAGTAATGAAAACTCAGAACATGGGGTTTGTTAGATGGAAAGCAGAATGAAGACTGCTGGAATGGAGAGGAGTTAAAGCAGTGGGCTTGTGAAGAATGCAAGAGATGGGGTGGGTAAGGGCAAGGTGAAGGTCAGGATCCTGGGAGGTGACTGAATGATGGGGAGAGTTTGGATTGAGATAAACCCAAGCCAATGTCACAGCCATGGGATTGAGTGTATGATGCTGATGAGGACAGGGAGAGGTGGCAGAGTTGACTGGTGAGAACTCCGGGAAAGCTTAGATTGCTTTTTCCCCATAGAGAGAAAGTCTACAGAAAATTATATAGAGTCTAAAGCTAGTATGGGATTCTTAAAGGAGAATTCAGTATCTTCTTTATCTCTGGAGTCCCAGGGTCTGACACAGTGGCTACCACACTGACATATGATAGGCATGCAGGTATTGTCTATTGTAGGATTCTGTGAAATACTAGGTTCAATCCGCATGAGTCCATTAAGCTGTTTTCGCTTTCCCAGATCAAAGCAAAGACTTAACCATTATACCAAATATAAATCTTAATTGTTATAACATGGGGAATTTTTGGATGCCCAAAACTTCCTTCCAAAGCACAAAAGCTAGTTGCATTCTGGTATTTTCCCTTCATTTATGAATTCAGCAAATATTCATTGAACAACAATTCTGTGCCAGGCACTGTTCCATACATTGGGAAAAATAGTGGAGGAAAAGGCAAACCAGGCCCCAGCTCAGGGAGCTTAATTTTAGTGGAAGAAAAACAGACAGCATATAAAAATATAAATGTTAATTTCAGTTAAGAAGAAGGCTGTGTTGAAAATTAAAACAAGTAGTGAGATAGAGAATAAGTTAGAACACAGCTTTCCTTTATGTAAGACAGAGAAGACCTCTGACAAGGTGACATTTGTCTGGGACCTGATGGGTAAGGAGTCAGCCATGTGAAGATTGGGAGGTATTCCAGGTAAACAGGTGGTGTAAAGGCCCAATGGGAAGATCAAGCTTAACAGAGAAGGACAGAAACAAGATCAATATGTCCACACTAGAATCTAATAAGAAAGTCATGTCTTTTCCCAAAAAGTTACATGTTTTAACATGAATGTGATCACAATGTATATTCAGTTTCCAAGGACTACATAGTGGCTAGGAGTAGACACTGGAGTGACACTGTCCTCATTTAATCCAGCTCTTCCTCCTCTACCTGTGTCACCTTGGGAAAGTACGCTAAATATTCTAGCATATTATTACCTGTAACATGGTGATAATAACGGTACCTACCTCATACAGCTGTTATAAGAATTAAGTGAATCAATAGTTGTAAAACAGAAAAGTGCTTGGCACCTAAAAAGCGATTTTTCCTTAAAATAATTCCCTATTTTTCCCATGACTGAATTATATGGGGAAGATAATCTCTTTTGTTGCATACTCTTAATGATTATTTCTGTTGATTCCAGATATCCCATAATCTAATTAACTGTAGAAGGAGCAGGTTGTTTTCATTTTTTCTACGTCACAAATCCCTCGACAATGAACTTTGTTATCATGCCACGGTAGTGATCACCTGGGTGGCAGAGTATGGGTGAACCTGTAAAAATCTTTCACTGGCTGAAGCATCTGTAAGAGGCACCCACATCTGGGTTGGCTTCTCATGAGATTACTACCAAATAACAGAGAAAAGATATTCTATCAATTGCTGTCCTGTCAGCTAAATTTATCCTGAAAATTTTGCTTGGCTTGTACAGTGTTTCCCCTTCAAAAGTTTAATAGAGTTGCCAAAAATTAAAAAAAAAAAAATCTCACAATATACTGTGAAACCCCTCCCCGCCCATTTCTAGCTTTTCTGAAAAATAGTTTATTTCTATTAAACTGATAGAATTGGACATACTGGCTATGAGGCAACAATTGTGAACAAATTTCTTGTAGCATTTTTGCCATTCTTCCATAATTTCATGTTTTAAAGTAAAGTTCATACTGTTGAAATATTGTCTAAAATATTATAAGCCTTCTATACTAAAATCTTAAACTATTGTATGGAAAATTGTTTGAGAAAGGTACTGAATTTATAGAGAAAACCAGAGTAGCTCAGAACATCTGAAAATAGTTGGAGTCTTTGAAATGTGGCATTACTTTCTTTAAAAATAATAAAGAGGTTTCCCAAACAAGTAAGGTTTTGTTTAATATATTGAATTCTGCAAATTTAAAGTTACATAAATATGATACCTTTAATTCAAATTAAAATATGAAGAGGCAAATACAAATGATAAACCTGTTAATTGATTGTTATGAATTACCGAAACTTTTAGGTAACATCCACATTGTATTATGCAAAAGGAAGCATATGCTATAATCTATTTTGTCTAAATTAAATGCATTAATACAAATATACATATACTAATATGTATCATCTTAAAAGTGAGAATGAGCCTGTAAAAGGCACACAGTTGGGACCTAATAAATATTTATTAATTTGGGTTTTTTTCACCTTTATGGAGCTTTAAATGACAACATTGTGTAAGTTTAATGTGTGCTGGGTGATGGCTTGATATATGCATATATTGTGAAATGATTGCCACGTTGAGGTTAGTTTACAGATCTATTATGTCACGTAGCTGTGTGTGTGCGTGTGTTTGTGTGTGGTGAGAATATTTAAAATCTACTCTGTTAACAACTGTCAATTATACATTACGATGTTAAATATACTTACCATACTGTGCCATTGATCCTGAGAACTTTTTCAGCTTATAATGAAAAGCTTTTACCTTTAACCAACCATTTCCCCATTTCCCCAGCCCCTGGTAACCCTTCTCTGTTTCTAGGAGTTTGACTTTTTTAGATTCTACAGATAAGTGAGATCATGTAGTGTGTCTGTCTTCTTTTGTATGACTTACTTCACTTTGCATAACACCCTTAAGGTTCACCCATGTTGTCACATACAGCAATATTTCCTTCCTTTTGATGGCTGAATACTTTTTCCATTGTGAATCTATATTTATATCTGTATCTATATCTGCATCTACATGTCATTGTCTTCATACATTGATTCTTCAACAGACTCTTAGTTTGTTGCCGTGTCTTGGCTATTGCAAATAACGTTACAATGATCATGAGTGTGTAGATGTCTCTTTGAAACTGAAAAAATAAAAAGAAAGGCTTTATATTATAAATATGTATAGCTGATAACTCAATAAACTTTTATTTTTCCTGACATGCATCACCAATGATATGTTTTTTATTCTTATTTCAACTTTGTTTATAGAAAACTGGGCACAAACCAGAAAGTGTGGATTTGTGTGGAGCACATATTGAATGGGCCAAGGAAAAATCAAGCAGAAAGAATGTTTTTCAGGTAAGAATGTTACATTTATTAAATGTATTCTTATTCCTTCTAAATCTGACCTCTCGACATGACATTTCCTTGTGACGCTTTAATGTGCATAAACTAGTTGTTTGAAGATCATTATGAAAACCTGATTTCTCTTCCTTCTTGAATTTTAGTTTGTTGTGTTGCTTTTCACTGGTTACTGGTTGCTCTCTAAACAGAAAATGCGTAGTGTGCGTTGATTAATTCTACACCCAAAGTCATTGACTGTTGCGTGGTATTTGATAGCTGTTTGGGGTTCAAACCTAGAGTGTTTGACTTAAATAGATATATTGTAGAACTTTCAGGCATACACACAATAACATTCACTAATTATGATAAACTTTTTGCTTTCATTTCCATTCCTGCTCCGAGTCATAAATTACATGTACCAGTGTAGCTTAGGGGGATGGAAAGAGCTGAACAACTATAGATATTGGGTATTTTTGTATTGCATAATTTAAATTTTTTGGAAAAAATAACTATGATTAATAATTTCAATCATGTTCCCTTGAATGAAAAGAACCAGCTGAGATTCTTGAAAGAAAGGAAATTAGAAAACTTAATATTTCATATATGATGTTACTAAGATCCCTTTGGCAATTAATAACTTTAAATTATGGAGGTTGATCTCTTTCTACATTTATATGAGATTTAACTTACTTTTATATTTCCAAAGTAACCAATAATTTTCTAGGTGTATTTACAATTTATACCATTTAGTAACCAAGAAGCTAGATTATTATAATTATTACATTAAATGTCTTCTAAGGCCATTTTGGCTCCTGAAGAAAGGTCGATTCTATTTTTAAATGTATCACTGAAGTTAATATATTGGGTCTTACTCAAGTGTAGATAGGCGACATCTCCTATCTGAATTCTCAAGAGAGAGGGAAACTGGTCTCTGATTGTGCATTTCCCAGATGCTAATCTGGGCCTGCCAAATTAACTGACCCCATGTTAGCATTTCTAGGATATGTTATTTTTTATACTTCTTTTAGTCTATTCCGGCATTCATTTTTCATAGCTAGAGATTATTTCTTTTTACTGAAAGAAAGAAGAAAAAAATAAGGAAAACTAAACATACTTGCCTAAAAGTCAAAAGACTAAAGCCAAAAGTGATTAAAGTGTGAATTTACAGAATCAAGGAAGAGAAATAAATTTTGTTTTGAAGTGAGGAATTGTAAATCAGTGAGATAGTCTGTTTCTCAAAGGTCTTACTCATTTTGTTATCATGCGAAAAAAAAAATTAGAGGTTATATTACTAGCTTCTATGATAACCTAAGTGATTAGTATGAGTAGTTCTGAACTAGGTTGGGTGAGTTAAGTGGTGTAGTTTTATTATATATTATGAGTTCAGCATCTTAGTCCCCATGTCATAAGATAAAGACATTAAAATTTAACATTGACATCATTCTTGGACAATAAAAACTCTTGGAGTTGGTCTAAGGTAGCCTTTTTCAGTTCCTTCTGTTAATCTTATGAAAAGTTAAGTTAGATCACAAAAGAGGATAGTCAAGTGTATACGATGTATACAGGACTTCCAATATAGAAGAAAAATACTTATACATAATTTTACACAGCTTTGAACATAGTATACACAGATACATATTTAAACCACTGTATTGATGGTGTATATGATAATGTGTATTAAAGACGTGATATCAGCCTTTCCTGAATGACTGCCTGCTAATATAATTTTCCCTTGTTTTTCATATTTCTGAATGTAGGCAGTTCCAAAGATATTAAAAAAAAAACTATTCTCACTTTTAGTAGCTTTTTGGAGGTGAAAATCTTGCCAGCTACTTTTGTTTGTAAAATATCTGAGCAGTTTATGGGATCCCAGAGCTCTTATATCCAGCTTACCTCTTTTTGTCTTGTATCCTTGTAGTTTAGAGAAACGAGAAAGAGGTGATTATAAAGATGCTGTGAATAACAAAGCTAAACAAAGATTCTAGTTTCATTACTTGCTTCGTTCTTTTTGGGATGAATCATGTGATTTTCTTGTCATGTGGATATCTTTTCATCACCCAAACACGAGCTAAGGAAAGTTTACTAGTACATATCCATAGATACAGACTATGAGGGTAAACCCTTTGAGAGGGACAATATAATAAATAGGTTTTATAGTTCTGTTAACGAAAAAGCATTGGGAAGGATTTGCCAAAGAGCTAAATCTAGATGACTTGCATCAATATTTGATTAGGTACATTAGCTGCTCTAACTCTCAAATGATCAGAATAAACATGATTATATCTCAAAAACATAGTATTAAGGCATTGTTGGGTGTTTGAGTGTGTGTGTGCAGGGTTTCATTACCTACAGAATAATGAAGTGTTTCTTCCTGTCTAAAAAAAAGCCATCAGAGCTTCGGCTGATGTGCTACATCAGAAATAGCTTTAGAATTCCAAGTTTGAATTAGGCTTGGTGTTCAATCTCAGTGTATGAATTATAGATTACAGATAGCAAATGACTATTGAGATTTTTGGTTCAAGAAAAATCAAAGAAGAGCAAAATTAGAAATAATTTGAAATTTGAAATCTGTCTTTAAAAAGTTGATGGATTAGCAATTATATGCCACATAATTACACCGTCTGTAGAGAAGTTGAACTTAACGTGAATAGGAAAACAAATAAAATATTATGTGCCTGAAAGACTCAGAAGCACACATCTGTGATGCCAAAAAAAAAAAAAAAAGGAAAGAAAAGAAGAAGGATTTCATTTGTCTTCTTCGCTTGTATATGCCATTTGGACATTTAAGTTGTTCATTTTCTTTTTGTATTAAAAGCCAAATTTCCTTCATAACCAAAGTGTTATTAAACTAGATTCAGTCTTCTCTGATTGGTACATGGTGACATAACAGTGACAAGATTGAGTACTAAGGTTTGGTGTTCAAGAACTCTCAGTAAATCTGAAATATGCTCACTGAGTTCAAGAACATCTGCCTATTTTATAATAGACTAGTCTTTGGCCTAATTAGTACTTCTTAGTAATAATTACGTATTAAAAAAGTCATTAGCGACTTCTATAATAAAGTACATATAGACAAGTCATCATATGTTTTAGATGTATAAATGTGATATCATGTATGTGTGTCTTTGTATATACCCATGTCTACTAGCTCAGCCTTAGAAATAGAATGAGCATTTCCATCCATGTACACACAAAGACACAAAGTCATGTTGTACTTATAAAAGGTCATACAAATTCTAAGTTATGTCACTAAATGTTCATGGCTGCTAACTTTTGTTTAATTCTGCATTTAACATAATTGTCAAGCACCATCACAAGCTTGGTACAGCTGAGGAAACATTTAGCAACTGAGTGATTTGTAATGAACTGTGGTACAAGTTTTCTTAGTTAACTTAAGAGCAGCACTAGGTCTTCATCAGGGAAAGAGTGAATAAAAAGATTTATGTTCAAATCACATGTTTTAAACATTCCTGCTAAGTGCTAGTTTGCTCTTTGGTGTTTAGCCTGAAATTTAAAGCACTAAGGATTAAAAGGATTACAACATAATCTTAAATAATCCTAAATGTCATTTACAGAGAGATAGTTGTAATAACTAAATAAAACCATGTTAAGGGATGGCAGTATTGTCAGGAAGCTTCCCTAACGTACACAGTGCTCTGTCACCTTCTTCTCGCTCCTCACGGGTATAGCTGCATGTACAAAGATTTTTAATGGAAAGTTCAACAAGTAAATAGCTGCAAGGTACCTTAAAACAATAAGTAATTTTTTAAACCATTAATATCTTCTTGTTTCAAAATCCAAAGTGAAGAAAATTTTTCACTTAGGCTTCTTTCCTTCCTTTGACCATAAGGCTGTCTCTGATTTAAATATTTTTGAAAGTCAAGGGAAGGAGTTCATGGCACGGATATCAAATAGGTAGATGTGCTATCTCTAAGACTTTGACCACCTCCAAGGAGCTACCTCCTTATTAAATATATGATGGTCCCAAGCACTGTAACTAATTCCAAGCTGTTTAGTTTAGCATATACATATTCTTTACTCTTATCACATAAATTAGGTTTGTCTCCTCAAAGAAAATACAAAGAAAGAGACTATATGACATACTGCTTTATATTTATTAAACCAGAGGACTGGACTCCTTTCCACTGTTTCAGTGGTTATTGCTAAAGCTAGATTCACATCCTTTTAGTTAATAGAAAAAGAATTTCCTGTCAAAAATTTTTAAGAAACAGTGTCCACAATATAGGCTCTGTACTCCACGATGATTTCCAGAGTGTAGACTCTATTCTCTTTTGTAAACAGGGGCAAAGAATAAGAAACATACTATTCGTTTTCTTGGTCCTTTTCATTATGACATACATGACAGTAGATGATTATTTATTCAAAATAATGAAATCATTTATCCTCTAAACTTTTACTGTTTTTCACAGCCAGGCATTGACTAGGCCTTAGTTTTCTGAATTTCTTTTAAAATAAAACTTAAAAGAAAATTGTTACTCATGAACATGCAGCAGACTCATTGATAGATTACGTACTTTAAATGAGATAATTCTATTAATGAGTTATGGCTGATTAGAACTACATCGATTGCCTGCTTGAAAGGCAGAAAAAAAATTCAGTGACTCAACAAGATGAAAGTCTGCTTTCTCCCCCCGCCCCCAACCAATTTATAACCTCAACAAAAATCAGGGCTGAATTTCTTGGATTTGAGATTCTTTTTTTAATATGTAAATATATCTCAGGGGAACAGATTCTGTCCCTAAAAAGTAGAGTAAATCTCAGAATAAATTTATCATTACTTGTATTACTTTTCTGACTTTGGTTGGGGTCTTCTGGCTACGATGTACATTAAACATATTCATGTAATATTTTCCATGGATATGCTTTACATTTAAACATAATTTGATTGCTCTTCCTGATCTGAATATGTCTTAGCTTAAAATGTTTAAGTACTACTTAACTTTATTAATGTAAAGATAATTTAATAATATCTTGGAAAATGTCATTTTAAGCCA